TACGATGGTGGTAACAACTAAATCTGTCTCTTATACACATCTAGATGTGGGCTAGCCTACTGATGTACTGTGTATAGCATGGGACGATGAAGCATAATATGACTAGGCCTAGGCCTAAGTAGACAGTGCATTTATATGTGATAGAAAGTACACTTTCGAATGAAATAAATTAAAATAAGAGAAAAAAAAAATTAACTAGGGCCTAAGAATAATTCAGTTGCAGACGTACCTTCTTTAAATAATGCTAACTATGCGGCTCTTGTAGCCCTAGCTAGGCAAGGCACTGGTGTTTGTTTATCCATGAAAAAAGCACGCCGGGAGAGTTTGCCTTACCAGGAAAAGGTGACGTAATCTAGCTTATGACGTATGCATGCTAACTATAACGTGAGTGTGACGTCACCAAAAAAAAAAAAATTTCTATTATAACTAATATATTATTAACTAGGTTTGTGGGCGTAAATTCCCTTAATACAAATTAAGAGTAGCACCATCTCCTTGCTATACAAATTACAGCTCCCATTGACGTCTCAGTCGAGAAATACGGGAAGCTGAAGTTTTTCTCGAAAATCTGACTACGAAACCAAATCGAAATTCACCTTCCACTTCTGACTCTGAGTTGTGCTTCGCACACGCCGCTGAGGGCGTCATTCCGGGAACCCTGCGTCCAGAGTAGACTGGTTAATCAATTTTATGGATGAACAACATCTTTACTACACATTTCTGAAGACGACGATATATTTTTGAGAATCTTCTATTGCGATGTCTTTCAAAAGACAAAACGTGCCTTCATGCTCAAATTATCACAATCTTGGACTGCGCCCATACGAAATGGCTACCATTTAATTCGGGACCCTTTCATATAGCATCTTCTTTCTAATACAGATGTTAGTCAATGGATTTTTTCTACGAATTTATATTTTGGTTATTCCTCTGCATGCATTCACATGCAAAACACATGACATTTGGATATTATTTGGTTACTCATCAACGCGTTTGTCGAGATTTGCGGTAGAATTAGTCAATCGAAGGAAGGCTATCAAATGTGTCAGTCCTAGCAAAAAATATTTTCCTAGAAAGAAACATCTTCTTTGGTTTCTTCAAGAGGTTGAAAAAAGCTGTTGAAGATCCTCTAACGAATAATGATAATGTTGCTTTCCTACATAGATGATTGTGCTACTGACGTGGGGGAGATAATGATGGTGATAATGATAGTGCGATAGTGCGATAGTGCTACTGACGATTGTGATGATAATGATGACGATAGTTCAGCGTGTGATTATGATAGTGATTATGATAATGCTACTTATGACGGTAATGGTGATGATTGCTACTAGTGATTTAATGATGATGACGATAATGGTGGTGATGATCAATGATGCTATAATAATCTGGATAATAATGTTACTGACAACGGTGTTATCAATGATGTTATAAAACTGACGTTGTAAAGATGATGGAGATGTTGCTGCTGTTGTTGCTGTTGCTGGTGATGCTGATCATGATTGCGATCATGATGGTGACGATAATGGTGGTGGTGATGGATGATGGTATGATAATGCCACTGACTCTAGAGAAGGTAATAATGCTACTGACAATAGTGTTGACAATGATATAAATGCAAATGACGATGTGGAGATGATTGAGTTGTTGCTGATGGTGATGGCAGAAATACGATGGATGATAATGATAATGCCACTATTTCTGTCAAAGATAATATTGCTGCTGACGAAGGTGTTGAAAATAATTATAGGCCCCTAATGCTACTGAGGATGTGGTGCTTATAATGGTGGGGATGATGATGATGACAATGCTGAAAGTTTGATGACAGTTTGGTAAAAAGTTGTTGACCATGGTCGTTAACATAATACTACTTATGATGGTAGTATAATGATGATGATGATGATGATGATGATGATGACGGTGATGATAATGGTAATAGAATACTGCTGCTGATGATGTTAGTGACCATACAACAATTGATAATTGTTGATGATGACGATACTTTTGTGGTTGCGAATGCTACTGTGAATACAATGAGAATGGCGCTGATGATAATGTTGATGATGACAAGGATGATGAAGATGATTATTAACATATTAAGTGACAGAAATGAAACTGGAAAATAAAGGTAATGATAATGAGGACTATGGTGACTACGGTGAGGAAAAAGTTGTAAGAAATATATTTTCAGTTTAAAAAGAAGCATTACCTCATGAATACGACCGCCAAGAGCATCAGATTTGAACTTGCATCAGTAAACTCGTAGAAGAAGTGAAACGCTTTACACGAACCTGTTGTCTCATAAGCAAATCCACTCGGATGACGAGACGCGTGGTACTCTATGGGAACCATTATTATGCGAAGAATCAAAGTGACATAGAACGCTGCGTGCAGGAACCATACAAAATCTCGATATAGTTTCCGTTTGGCGATGAGGTAGATTATGACACAGTTTGAAGGAAAGCCAATAACACATACGATGGTGGTAACAACTAAATATGCCTGCAACCATGGCTCTGCGTGTACATTAATTTCATCTACAGTCTCGTCTGAAAAAAAATTATTATCATTATTGTTATTATTATTATTATTATTATTATTATTATTTATTTATTTAAAAATAATCTTTTATTGAAATTGTGTATTCTCAATATTTTAATCCTTGTATCATTTTATTTATATTTAAAAAAATGAATAAATGATGATATATATATATATATATATATATATATATATATATATAAATGAATATAAAGTTGTCGGTTCAGGCAACGTATAGTGCATCTGTCTCTTATACACATCTAGATGTGTATAAGTATTACTATTATTGTACTTGTTTATGTTATATTATTAGTGTTTATTATTATTATTGATATTACGATGACGATGATGGTATTGGTGATAATGATGTGGTGGTGGCAATATTTATTATGACAATATTAAAAATGATGATGATGATAATGATGCTGATGACGACTATGACAATGACGACGACGACGATGATGATAATGATAAGGACGAAAACAGAAATTGACATTTTAATTACCTTCACTTTGTTTATCTTGTTTGTAAGATGGAACCTCAAAACTCCAAAACTTAGATCCTTCGTCCATTTTTTCCTTATGATGTATCTAATAAAGATAAAGATAAAACATTCTAAAGCAGAATGTCAGACAACACATGGACAAAATAGTAACAGAATGGAGAGACATGGATGGCAAAAGGTCCAGGGGAAGACAGCGTATAAGATGGTATAAGATTGAGAGTTGAGATCGATAAGTATTGGGGCAGAGCGAATTGGTTTAGCACAGCAAAAGACAGAATGACATATGGCGTTAACATGCTGAGGCTTTCGTCCAGGAGTGGACTGGCAAAAGCTGATGATGAATAAAAAGAAAATATGATGTGACTTTCGTATTAAAATGAACTTTATTAGGCCTTACGACATCATAATTATAACGAATGTTATAGCCTATGGGTAAGTGGAAATATATATGGAAAGAAGAGGATACAGTTAGATTACGAAGAGCAAGCAAGCGGCATACCTAGTGACAAGAAGGTACCTAATGACGATGATTTTTCTGCTGCTGCTGACATGATGATGAAGAGGAAGAAGATAATGATTTTTACACTAGATGTTAATTAACGTGTAACACATATTCTATGCGAAATTATTCTTAGTATTTTATTGTTATTAAAGCAAGATAATTAGAACTTTTACTTTTTGGTTACTTTTAACCAGTTCGTGATCAATTGTGTTTGGTTTTGGTCTGTGTAGGCGTATAATTTCTGCAGAATGATACAGTGCTATATTGGAAAAACTTACCTCATCACTGAAATTGAAACACGTTCTTACAATATTTCTGACTGATACTCAGATCAAATAATAAAAAATAAGCATATGGATGATTATATAATATTTAAAATTCTATCCCTTATTTACTAGTCTACTTACGATTTTTGTCTTCTATGTCCAATATATATTAATAATGTCCAGTGGTTAGGAGCACTTAGGCGAACATGGACGTCGTGGAATCGTGAACGATTCTGCGGCAATTGAACGGTTGTCTGTGTGTTATGCTATTCAAGTTCCTTAGCACACACTCTGTGGTTTCCGATCCACAACTGAAGAAGCTGAGAAACTGTTAGTAGAGCTTCTACTGGGAATGATAGATGTATTTTCAATATCCAATTCCAATTTTACTTTCCCCAAGGCCTTGGAACAACTGGACCTCTGAGCATGCGTACAGATCCCTCTGCTGATTAAAGTAAGTTATTGATCCTTCGAAGACGACACCGGAAAGTATTTTGGCAGAATCACACGCGAAGAAACTTTTAAAGTCAAAGCACATGAGCTTGGTACCTATGAAGCATTGGAGTTAACATTTAAGTTCACGAAGCATACATTGGCCTAGTAATAATAAAATCAAAAATATTTATTTTATAAAAACATCACGTATCGAAAAATTATAATGTACTACTTTAAATGTTTTCAAAAGAAGTTACAAAGCACTTCCATACTGAATTTGCATATATATCTTCCCGATTATTTTATGTATTTCAATTGTTTATTTTAAACAAGAGCCGCCAATTTCAACAAGCTATGGTATCCCTTTGGGTGTGTTATCCTGGATAAGTATTTTCAAATAAAATATGCACAACTTTACAGTACGTGCACTTCCAGTCACTTAATGTTGTTTCACACTATATTAATTTGGGCGCGTTACACAACAATGAACGACAGTTCATTGTTGTGTAATATTTTCCCTATGTGTGAACCACATAGAATGCGCGTACCATAATCGAAAACATTGTGCTACTGTAGCTTTCGAACCTCTGGTCTACTTTTTCACAAGAGAAAGAATAGATAATTATAGTGACATAACCACGTCTTTTATTTGCGTCAAGCCGCTTGTGATTGCTACTGAGGCATGCCAATGTGAACCAAGCTTAAAACCTGGTTCACACTATAGCAATAACAATACAAATACACTCTATCCTTTCACAGCACACACCGCAATTGCAGTGCGAAACTCTGTGAACTGTCATTATGACGGATGCTTAGGGAGTGGAGTCGTATTTAATCGTGAGAATAAGTCATTGGGTTTATCCCTGGATCCTGGGATTAAGGCTTACATCTTAATTACCAACCTACAGGTCAAATCCAAATTAAATAGCCTATATAATTTTGAGGTATTTAATGTAGTATCAGTATAAACAGCATTTTATCATTCAATCTTATCTATTTTTCATTTGTCTATTCATTACAATTATTTACATGGTTTTCAACTTTCAGCTATGGCCAAAACAATATGTCACAAATTAAACTCCTTAAATAATTAATGTAAAAATCGTTTAACAAAATACAGAAAAAGTGAATTTTTAAAATTTGCATGTCCAGACAGTAAAGATATTATTTTTGAAGTACCTGGTGACGGATGTACCAATAATTGAATAGTCCCTTAAGACTAAACTTAAATTCTCTTTATTCCCTCGTGACTCCACTTTAGTGTTAGACTATTATTTTGTCCCTGGTTAATATAAATTGTAATCATATGATTATTTTTTTTAACCGTATAGGGCTACAATGTTAACCGATTTAGGCAGTAATTTCTTCCGCCAGTAGGATTTCAAATATGTCATTTTGGAGATGATTATTTTGTTTCGTTCTTTAGGCGTGAGGAAAATTATCGAAAAAAATAATCAGACCACTCTGCAGTTAAAAGTTCTACCTGCAACTTATACACAATGCGAACAATGTTACAGGTTTAATAGCATTGTTTTCCTTTGAGTTAACGCAATAAATTGTTCTAGTTTGAATCAAACTTAATTGAAGAATGTGCCACTCACCAAAATTCTATAATACTGTACTGTTTAACATGAAGGAAATATTTGATGATTTTTTTATACACAATAACGATGGTCATGCTTCGCTGATAAATTTTGAACGTGATGATAACCTGATGCCTAACAACTAAATTATTGGTGTAGTTAACCAATACTTTACAAAACAAGACTTGAACATAACAGTAAAATAATCCCCGGAAGAATTTGCAGTAATTGGATTTAGATACTTTAGTCTTTCATCCTAGAACTCTTTTTTGATGGAGAATAAATCTCCAAAATATGACCTGTATGATACAGCAAATACCAAGTAGAGTAGTGATATGATGCGAGTCCAAACACTTTGTAAGTTTAGGGTATCTTAAAATCAGGCTCCAAAAGAGGCCAGGCTCCAAAACAAAAGAAAGGGAAACAATTTGATATGTTGTACAACTGATTTTCTATGACACAAAAGTATGTTTGAAAAATAAATATCGAGAGCGGTTAATGGGATTGTTTGAAATAATAAAAAAAAAAATGGTGGAAAAGGCTATACCCCCACTCCTCTAGTTGTTAAATATTCAAAACTCTGAATCTCATTAAGAGTTTTTAGTCAACCAACTTTTTTGGTTTCTTAGAAAAATCACTTGTCAACATAGCAAAAAAAATGTTTTCCTACTAAACGCTAAACAACTACTGAAAAATATTGGCAATTCTGAGTGTTTGTGTGGGGGCCTACCTAAAAACAGTTTATATTGGTGTTTTATAAGAAAATAAAATTTTGGGGGAGAAATTTCCTCTACCTGTTGGTTTTTGTGTTACGAGAAATGTTAGTACCAGAACTAATCTAAATTCCTTTCGAAACGTTAAAACTAATTAATATCTACCTGTATCTACACGTAAGGGTTTTTATTTCATACTTTCTTAGTTACAATTACGTGAACGCTTTTCTAACTTGCTTAGTGCATTGCTTGCTATTTTAAATTCAAGATATAAGAAATGAATAATGTGAATGAATTATACTATGTTCATTAGCTGATGCATGTTTTACCCCAATTTTATGACCTTGGTTAAGTTTTCAAAGATTTTCTGCCTCATGTATCTTTAGATAATGTTCGAAAGAACAATGTGAAATTGGATATATTGCTTATATGAACTGTACGGTGGTCTTAAGAATGTTCCTAATATGTTTATAATAAAATAGCGGCATATTGCGTTCAATAATCATTGTCAGATGGTAAACAATGCAAATGTAATCACTTATTTCACTAAATTAATATCATAATCGTTAATTTCATCATCATCATCATCATTTTCATCATCGTCATCATCAATCATCATTATCATCATGTTAATCATCATCAACGCCACCGCCATCATCTTCGCTCTCATCATCAATGTATTACTGTTATGATAATAATAAATATCATCATAATTATGTTCATTGTATTTTTTTTGTTCACTTAATCATATTTAATAAGGTAACTATTAGGTTATTTGTTTTTATGTTATAAATGACAAAGGTGAATTATTTGTTTATTATGCTGTTAATAATAATAATAATAATAATAATAATAATAATAATAATAATAATAATAATAATATCTGTTATGCTTGTATAATGACAGTAGGTAAATCCTGATAGGTTTAATAAAATCACTGCAAAGAACCAGATAAAGCATTAAGAAAATGTGGTATTGTATATATACAATAGACAACGCTTTATTCATACATTTTTTTATACAATTTATATTCAAATGATGTTAGTAAATAATATAAGGGTTTATAAATGCTCTACAGTATTTACAAATGCTCTACAGTATAAAATTATTCTTGTATAATAAATGAAGTAGATCCATATCCGGAACAAGATCAAAAATATAATGTAAGACCAATATTTATACATTTGAGTATAGAGTACATTCGGGTACATCCGGATACATTCGGGTACATTCGGCTATAGTGTGCAACACGTATATTCGGGTGGGTTGGGTGTAAGGTCACGTGAAGTATATACGCTTAAAGTAAAATAATGGAATATTTTTAATTTACGGAATCTTGAACGCTGGATCCCTGGGATTACTTGACGCATCCTGAGGGATAATTCTTTTTTTCTTTAAAGCGCCATGCTCAAGGTCATATTCCTCTCTATGGGATTATGCAAACTAGGTCGCACACTTTGCCGTAATGGCGCCATGTGTGAGTTTCTCTTTATTCTCATCGTCACTACCACTTTCAAGAACAACCCAAATAAACGGTATTCAACTAAATGGATCGCTGCAATTCACTACAACCATCGTCACGTGTATGGTGCAATAATGTGTTCCTATATTATAATGTTTCAAATTTATGAAAATTAACCTAAGATTACTAAAATTATATATTTTTTGTGATTGCTGACTTCTTTATAAAAATGAGCAATGTTTATCTAGCTCAATACATGTACATCGAATGGATGTTTTACGTTATTCCCACATTTTTTTCAATTCACAGTCCTTAAACTATTTTATGACTGCTCAATGAAATTGAAAATGTGATATTTTATTTGTACAGTATTGTAATGATGTACATGGTGAAATGGTAAAGTTTTTTTTTCTTTCACAATTGCTGCCCCTACATAATGGAATGCCCTACTTTTAGAGATCAAAACTTAATCTTACAGTCAGTATCTTCAAGAAAGAGTTAAAATATGATCTCTTCTCCGTCTTATACTATTTTTTTTTAGACGCATGTAAACTGTTTTTTCTTAATCTTAAATTTATATTAATGCTATTAACATCAGTACTTAGTACTAACCTTCAACCTTTAACCTTTAGTGTGCACTTTGAGCAATACCATTTTCATAGTGCCATTGAACCTTGCATTCTATCGTGGATATTGACGCTATACAAATCATTGTTGATTGATTGATTTATTATCATCACTTCTAAACAATAAATGAATTTTAAGTTATCTTTAAAATAAGATAGGATGCAGATATGCGTATAAAGTTGTTTCACCTAAAGTAATGGACCATTTCACTAAGCCCCTCCCATTAGATATTAGGTAGTTTTCTTAACTTTAACGTTAGTACCCAACTTGCAACGCGATAACTCCGCCCCTTTTGTAAACGAATCGAAATACGTATGCGCAAACCCGTAACTAACTTCCGTCGAGCACATACAATCCTGAAATTAACGTACTCCGCAACGCGAGATGAATACATTTTGACGTCATCCGTTAACGTTGAGGTTAACGTCGTGAAGCGAAAACGCCCCATTGCTGCTAAGTCCCACAAGACGACAGTGTTGAAACCACTGATATTTATTATAATAGCTATTATAAGTCAATCGTTACGTCATCACTGCAACTCCCAATTTTATTTGCATATCCCCATCACCGCACTATTTTTTCATATAGGCCTACTACACGGTTTGCTTGATTTTTTTTAGGTTCGTGCGCAAAAGACCAATTTAACTTGTAAATCAATTTAACTTGATAAATTCACCTAGCACACATACAGCTATCACCCAGCACTACGACGCGCAGATGCACGATTTTTTTTCCTGCATCAATCAAAACTTCGTATAATAGGCCTATATTTCCGCTAGTGTACTATACGAAAGTATTCTAATTGCTTATTATAGAGACCAGTGGTGCAATATACGCGAACATGTGTGTTTGTGTGACAACACGTGTGCTTGTTGGACACGCGCGTATTCCTGGCACTTTTCTGATTGGTCAGAAAGGTCCATTTAGGCGTGCTGACAGGCGTAGCGTTTGCATTAATTCATCAAAATTGCTCCGTTGTGAAAAAAGTTATATGTTGTACAACTGCTTTTTCTGAGACAAAAAAAAAAAAAAAAAAAAATAGTGTTTGACAAAAATCTCGGAAACGGTTAATGAGATACATATATTTGAATATTTAAAAACTGGGGATAAAGGGAGTAACCACACTTTTCCCACCATTTGCACGTCATATCGACAAATTTTGTTTCTAGATACTGGTTTTAAAAACTCATAATCACTTTCCATTACTTTTCCGTGAATTATATTTTAAAGAAAATTCCTCTTATTACACCTATTACATTCCCACGCAGGTGACGAGAAAATAAGAATGAAATTATGGGAATATGTATTGGGAATGTAGTCGCCATCAATCCAGCAATGCGGTAGCTATGAAAAAGTGCCGGACTGTTGTTAGTAAAATCTGAACTGACATAGACACCCCAAACAATAGCAATTGGTGCTAAGCATACTGCAAATGATATGGTCATTGTAACTTGCATCAAAGTTGCCTAAAACAAAAACAAACAAAAAATTAATAACAAATAAAAACATATCATTACATGTATTTATATTATTAGTTTTCTCTTTCATTTTAATGGGTTTCCGTCTTATTCACACTCATCAAATGAAATAGCCTATCATGATAAGTCTGTTACGTAGAGTAACAGACCTAGCTGATCAGGACTTAGCTGAAAATGAATCATAGTATATTTAGGCCGGCATATACATTTCATATTACCAGGGAACTGTGAAATTTCACTGTTCCCTGATGTTACATAATGACGGATTTAAAATAAGAAATCTTTAGAAACATGGAGCAGTAGATCCTCCAGTAGATTCCGTTAAAGCCTCTCCCCCAACTCCTTGGATAATGAACCACAGAACGACAGTGTCAACGTTACGTAAACCGGCACTCCAAATGGTACATTATTGCTGGATACAGGTTTCAAGTTTAAATCCATGAATAAAATGAATGTATGTTTCTCCATTTTGCAATAATTTTAGCGCGCTGTAAATGAATATTGATTATTATTTTACTTTATCATTACTTATTATTTTACGATTTTACGTGGCCTAAACAACCAATGTTATTGTGATTAAAAAAATCGTATATAAAATTAAATTAAATTTTCCTTTTTTGTCCAATTCCAAAAATTTGAAATTGGAAATTTTGGCTGGGCCCATGGGGACCCGCAGCAGCCACGGTCCAGCGCGAGAACCAACATATAACGGATACACTGTTCCTTATCCCGCCTAACTCTCATACGAGGGTTATTCGAGGACCAGAGCGATCTGACTCATATTAACACCCGACGCTGGCCGGGTTTGAACTGAGGTCTACAGCGCAAGAAGCAGAAATATTACCTCTAGGCCAAATCGGATTTTGTTGGTTAGATATAGTCACAGTGTAGTTGTTGCGCAGATACCTTGTTGATTTATAGTATATACCCAAATAATCAACATTTATCCTAGCTTTTAATTCTAGTTCAGTAGGTTCCAAAAGAAGCGATTGCAGCTGAAACCATACACAATTTTCAGTTACATTGAATACACAAAAATACGTGAAAATAAAAACAGAAAACGGATACTCAACTGTTGTTTACCCAGGCAGCGTCTGGGGGCTATAAGGTACTGCCACCCGCATTTTGATAACTCAGAATGGACTGGGGTTTATCAGGTACTGCCAACCATAACCTGAAAACAGGTAAACTATTGAATTATACAGTTTAACAGTAAATAAATAATATATTGAAAAAGTTAAATATTAAATCATACCAATCTATATATGTTTCAAATATTATCTTTTAAATATTTCTCTTTAATGTTGGAAGTGATGTCATTTTACTTGGTTAAATAGTGGTTAGCAGTTTGTTTCAATAATGTGGGCCTTTGATAAATATTGATCTTTTACTTATATCAAGTCTATTGGGTGGGATGTGCATCGGATTTTGTTATTGAATCAATCAATTTTTCAAATGGAGATGGTAGTTCTTGAAGATGATACTTGAGCATAAAGCATGCAACTTGTATTTTATGATCGTATATATTTAACTTTTTAACAGACCTTTTTTCGTTCTAAGTGGTGAATCTGGAATCATTCTAGCAATTCGTTTTTGTAATATATATAGTTATTCTATGTTTAGTGGAATATACATTCCCCATATTATATTACATTATTGGAGGTGTGTAAACTTATACTACCCATCAACTCCAGCACAGGACGGGTAGGGTTGATGGTGGCGCCTTCTGAGTGGTACAGTGCAGTGTTATTGCGGAGTGGTTGGAACATTGGTAGCGAAGTATTTATCTACTCCAAACGTATGCTTGAACATATTGTAATGCTTATTTGGAATATGAATTGATTTTTTAAAAACATTTCTGTCGTTCTATATTTATCAACCAAATTTTAATTTCAGAAATAAACATATTTATATCATTCATATTGTATAGTTGCGTAGTTTAATAGTTTTAGGATAATAAGTATTCTTTTTACCTTCTTCTGATCACGGATTGTAAGTGTGTTCTTTAAATCTTCAAGTCCAATCAAATAACTCTTATCTTTAACAATCGATGAATCAGACTAAAAATATAAATAGAGAGTTAATTATCATCATTATACATTTTTAAAACTGCACACACTTTCTTCTTCTGTTAATCCCTTTCCCACATTCACGATTTTTGCTACGACAGAGCACGATTTTTCAATTTTGAAAAATGGCAAAAGCGTCGTCGTAAATGTCGTGGTCAAAAATAATTCATCGTATTGCATCGTACTGGCTCTTGATGTCATCGTGATGAGCACGATTTTTTTGGAATGTTCAAAAAATCGTAGCCGTGAAAAAGATCTTGGTCTACCGCAGCGGCATCGTGTAAGTGGCGTAACGTTGTCGTCGTTTGTCGTGACTGTGTCTTTTCCATTCCATACCAACAACACCTACGACAAGCCAAGACGTCGCAGCGGTTCTAAGACGATTAGATACGATGCCAGCAGGATACCATGAAGACCGTGGTTTATATCACGTGGCTTTGTGTCAGAAAACCTACTAGTAGGTGTTCATATTGTCTAAAATATGGACGACGTAAGAGCCATGGCTGTGCCCATACACTTCGTTTAGGCCTATGCATTAATTATCATAACTGTAGCAGCCAACACATTTTCTTCTTCTATAGCAGCAGCTTGCAAATATTGATGGTGTTTCAACAGTGCCCTTTTTTGTCATGTGATGTTTGTTTTTGTGATGTGCGTCTTGTTAAATCGTGCTAACGTCATGCTTGCGTCTTTGTAAAATCGTAGTGACGTCGAATTAAAATTTTGGTAATTCGTAGTACGTCGTCACAAATCGTAACTCTATCGTTATGATTCGTAAAAATGTCGTCGCACTATCGCATTAGTGCCGTAATACATCTTGACAGCGTCCTAGTAGAGTCTTGATGAAACGTAAAACTTGACCTTTTTGAGTACGAATCACTACGATAGAGCGCGATTTTAAAACTTTTTAAAATCGTGCTCCATCGTAGCAAAAATCGTGAATGTGGGAAAGGGGCATAAGCCGGTTACTCACTGCGTGCGACGGCGACGTGACGGCAACACGACGAAGAACGCACGCGAAGACGCGGACCCAACGTTGCGTCGTCTATCGCTCGCCGAAAGCAAATGTGGATTCGTCGTACGACCGTCGTACGACGCAGTGAGTGTCCGGCTTTAAAGAGAATTCGGCTTTATTTACAATATAAACGCATTTCTTAAAGCCAGGCTCCGGAGAATTGCTATGTTATACAACTGATTTTTCTAAGATACAAAAAGCATATTTGACATACAGAATACTTGAATGAATATTTAAAACTTGTAAAAAGGGGGCGTAACCACCTTCCCCCTCCAGTTTTTATATGAAGTTTTTCGTCCTATATGGTTTTTGTGTCTTTTAATTGTACAACATATTATATAGGCCTATAAAAAAAATGTCTACTTCAAAGCCTGGCCTTAAGCCGGTAGTTGAAGGCAACCCATCGACGAGGCCGTGCCGTTTTAATAGAGAGCTTTCGATTTGCACGACGAAGTGACGCTAGGACGGATTCACGCCGCATGCGTGACCGTCCTCTGTATACGTTCTCTGGTGAACAACCTAGTGGCCAAATTGCGTTTAGAATCCACGCGACAATGAGAACTTTATGTGACGTCATTACGTTGTACGTCCTACCGTCGTTTTGCAATCGAAAGCTCTTTAGTACTTGCCGTTAGTGTCTGCAGTATTTGATTTCCCTTTAAATCACTCAATACTTTTTCGTCTGACATTGGATTTTTTAAGACGGTTGAGGAGAGCATAGTCGGGTCGAGTGCCTGACTCCTTGTCGTTTGGTCAGTTGAGAGGCCGTGATTATGGAATTGCACGCGTAGGTTACTGTCCTTTGCGTAAAGTCTATCTCCACGAATCAGTAAAAGGGTGTTTGACAAAACCATAATCAGTAAGGGGAATATCAAGGTCATTATAGCGAGGTATGTAAACCACATCTTGTACTTTGCCGAACGCACATCGTTGAAAAGGCAGACTCGATGTCCAAACTCGTTATTGTATAGGAACTGAAATTAAAAGGAAAGATCTGTAATTAATTTTCTAATCAAAGGCATAAAATATTAAATCTACACACTTAAGTCGGTTTTCCATTAGGCGAATTTATTCGCGCGAATCGAAAGCGCCGCTCATGCGCATGCGCATTTACATTTCTATCGGAGTTTTCGCTTTATCGAAATTGGTAATTCGAACTTTTTCTACTTTTTGCGAAGCGAAAAATGTTCGCAACCAATCAGAACTCAGGAACCGAACCGACGCCTTCGATACGCACGAATAAATTCGCCTAGTAGAACAATCAGCTTAAGACGTGATAAATATTCAGTGGCAATGAAGTGTGGGTAGTAAGAAAATGAAACTACAACCCTTCGTGCGTGGTAAATTTATAAAACCCGTCCAACAGTATCGTCGGCGGGCAAAAAGCATCACCCACAATTCCTAAACCCCGACTAAAGGGGATTACCGGTAAAGCTATAGATTTCCTTTAATTTACACATTTTCCCACTATTGATTTAACGTCTACCAAAAAGATAAACGTGTTTAAAGAAAAATTAAAATTAATATGATGATGATGATGATGATACTAATAATAAATATAATAATAATAAAGATTAAAAGAAAATTATTAATAATAATAATAGTTTTGATGATTTTTCTTTATTTAAATATACTATATACTTAGAAGGAGATTAATTTATTCAATAATAATATCAGGAATATAAATAACTCAGCACGTACGACGAATCTAACAGAAGGTATACTGGATATAATTGACACTACTATTGTGATGGTGACCAAAATCATAACCGTTAGAACCGGACGTCGCTTGGTTATGCTGTTTAGTGATGTCAGAGAAAGCCACCTATCAGTAATAAAAAATAACACACACACAGTTATTATCACAGTTTTCAAACGGAAATGAAAATGTATATCACATCCTCATTGAGCTACATTATGCATTTAGGTCAGTCAGTCAGTCAATCAGTCAGTCACATTATTAGTAAACCAATCAACAAATATTTATGTAGCACTAATATCCAAAATATCAATATGCACATAGGTTGGGAAATAATATAATAGGCCTGCCTTTAAACAAGCATCCAAAATATCAATATGCACATAGGTTGGGAAATAATATAATAGGCCTGCCTTTAAACAAGCATCCAAAATATCAATATGCACATAGGTTGGGAAATAATATAATAGGCCATAATGGTGTACCTTAGTCCACATGCTGCCAACAAAGACAAACGCATAAATACGTTTCCGAAGTCAGAGAAAAAGTGAACAGCCTGACATGAATATACGCCCTCCAACGGCCAATTCAAGGGATCCGTGTGAGACACGTACGCGAAGGGCAGTGCAACAGTGTGTAGGATCACAGAAAAGCATACCACACCCTGGTATAGCCACGTCACATCATGTAAAAGAGAAGTCTTCCAGATGCCAAAAATAACTAAAGTATTACCGATGAACGAGACGAAGCAGGCGATGATGGTAATCGATAAATGAGCGCGTATTTGGTTGGTACTATCGAAGTCTTCATATTCAACTGGAAAAAAGAAAAATATTTAATTGATCGACCTATCATCAATCAATCATCACTTAATCAATCTGATCAACCAGTCGATCAATCGATCAATTGATCAATCAATCAATAAATCAGCCATTCATTCAGTCAGTCAGTCTACCAATTAATCAATCACAATCAGGCAATTAACAAAATGAAGAGCTCATAAATGAGAAGAGGTTCAGAGGCGGATAGTCATAAATAAAAATTCACATCTAACTTAGAATAATGTTTTAGCGTAATTTTAGGAACTGAAACGAAAATTTTCTGTAAAATTAACAAAAAAATCTTCTTTGTTTACAATGGCGTATTTAGGAGTATTAGCACGAAGGTCTGGGGCGTGAAGGTTAAGTCGGTGACTTTAGCTGGCAACATGAAGTGGAATGAGGTGAAATGTTTCTACGTTAAGAGTGCGCCCCCAAGCCCCCGTTACACCACTTCTTTGTTGCCATGATATAGTATTTATATTATATATAAATCTAGTTTGTATTCACCGATATAAAGTAAACGTGGAGATGCTTACCAATGGATTCTTCTTGAGCGCTTATGAAATCATCACGCGGGAAGCTGGTTTCCATGTTGCAGTAAATCTGTTGGTAATTATTTTACACAAACTTCATATGTATGAATAAATGTAAAGCTCGGTTTTAAGTAAAACAATTTATAAGCGAGTTTTGAAACAAACACAAGAGACATTACGCCTACAAGTGTCACACGGGCAAATTGTTGTTAACCACTTGAAATTAGAGGGAGACGCAGATGTTTGCGAAAGTTGGTTTACGAACTTGTCGCATACAATGCCTCGACGCAGCAAACTTTTTGCAACCAAGGAATAAGGAAAAGCGGAAATCTTTTTTTTTTCTTAATTTTGCGTTTGAAGTGTGATAGCGACCCTTTCACTACTTCTACGATGTTTGTCAAAGGTTTAGCTAAACGCAGGTTATCGCGGTGTACGCGTGTGTCATCATCATACAATAGTATGTTCAACTGCCAATATTTGTTGGCTACTACTCAAATTTTAACGCCTGACTAAATACTACAATAACAATAAAAAAAAACCCCAATATTTTTTTTAAATATAGACAATGCTAAGACTAGGGCAATAATACATTCGCCTATGATCCGAATGCAAAATGATTTATTCTGATATTAACGAGTAGTTTGTGTTGATAGTATTTTAATTGCTCTGTGTGTTCCTGAGTTATATATTCTTACCATCTATCCAACGGAAGATAACCACCATGTACTTCCCAAAAGTATTTCATACGGGAAGCAATCAGTTTAATGGTTTTAACAGAATTCACGAACAATAAGCCGAAGCACCCCAAGAGATATAGAGAGAGTTGGTGTTGGGTTAGTCTAGTTGCGCTAACCCACTTCAACAATGAAGTGTACTTGACTATATCACATAGCTCTTTACTTTAACCAGTCTCAATGTATTACATACTTCAAAAATAACAGGATAGGTGGACGCAGGAATTATTAAATTTTAAGTGCAACTTGACTGTCTCCTAAGGACACCGATTCAGGGAAAGTTAATAAATGCAATAAAAAAGTGAACAATTCAAAATGTGTACTGTAAGTTATCCCTATAAATAAATAAAAATTACGTCACTAATCATGTAATCGTAAAAAGGTCTCATTACATGATAACAGCGTATAAGAACCAATATATTAACATAGTCTAAAGTAAATAACTCTATTCTTAAAGTGTTTTTATAGTTCATTTATCGAAAGCGTTTTAACTTTTTCATTTATATGTTGGTTTAATAATCTTACCCTTAAGGAGAGGTCTGCCATACAAAATATAGTAAATGTATGTTCAAAAATTACAGGCAGTCCATTGCGGAGTATCCCGTCATTTTGTGACAAACAGATACTAGCTAAATGCAAATATATTTTAAAAGAACCAGAAAATATACTTTTTGATGAATTTGTACTTTTACCACATGGTACACGATATCGTAGCCCACTTTGTAAGACAAAACGTAAACTTAATTCTTTCATTACTATAGGCATAAGGCTTTTAAATAAACACAAAACATAGTATATAAATAACATAAAAGGGGTGATGACAATATATGTATAATAATAATAATAATAATAATAATAATAATAATAATAATAATAATAATAATAAAATAAATACTATATAACGATAGCTTTTTACATATATTTTTACAGTTATGATTCTGGTTAGTCTCTTTTGTATGTTTTTTAGTGATTTATATTTATACACTTACTATTTATTTAGTTTTATATATATTATTGTTGTTCGATGTTTATAAATGATTTTAACTTATTGAGTATTTCAGTCCTGTTTTAAAATTGCCCCATGAGGGATAAATAAAGAATTATTGAATTGAATTGAATTGAATTAGTCCTAATGACAGTACAGTAGCTGCTATGAACATAGAACTACATTATAAAGAAACTTAAGAGACATTGGCAGAAATTAGGGTCCCATATGTAGAGATGCTTGGGTGGTGGGATACCTTTCCATATATAATTAAAAAAAGAATGTGAATTGTAAAATGTTGTTTATCTGTGAAATTTGTGGAATAAAGAAATTAAATTGTAGCTTTATAATGTTGTTAAATGCTAACATAAAAGGTTTACATTGGTAATTTAACTTTCTCAATTCTATCACAACAATTAGTAGCCTACAGATTGAAATAAATGGCAATGTTATCAGTCATAACAAAACAAAGGAATATTAGCCCACTTCCTGATACGACATCATAACTAAAAGCCTGGTTTTAATAAAATCGCAATACTCTCTCTAAAGTTTTATTTTTCACTGCAATCGTTTTGTGTATACTGTAACCGTCCTCGACTCAATCGAGAAGCCTTCCAGAATCGATCGACCAATCCGCTGTGCCATTAGCTGTCGGCGATGGCGTGTAAAACCTTATGGAAACTAGCAAATGCCACAAATAAATAATGCTCAGGTGCCTAACTTTATAATGATCCGTTTGAATTTGAAATAATTCCACATTTAGGCCTCAGGAATGCTGTCATGTTGACGTCAAATTATTTGTATGACACAGAAACTTAAAATCATTCATTCAATTGCCATACGGTAATTCTTCCCTTTTCTTATCAATATCAGCCTAATAGTAAATTTAATCCAATGAATGAGAACCAAATAATGTCACACCAAGAACATTTTTAAATATGTTGAAATCCGAATTATTGTAAAATCATAGACATCATAAATAAGATTTCTATTACAGTCAAATGATTACAGTAATCGAAATTGACTTATATTCAGTAAGAGATGTATACGGATATTATTTCTGTTTTGTTTTTATCATTGATTTTTCTTCTTCATAAATAAGATGATTAAATATACAAAATAAAACTAATTGGTGAAGACAGTACAGACACAAATCTTTATTCTTTATACAGACGAGAACAGCAGCAACGTCAAAAACAGCAGAAACAACAGCAAAAACAGTAACAAATCTCAAATATTAGCACAAGAAACAATAGCAATAACTGCAGCAAGCACAGCAAAAGCAACAACAGAAAAAACGGCAACAACACAGTAAAACGACAACAGCAGCAACAATCAGCTCACAATTTAATAAAAATAACAGAACAGAAGCAAAAACAACAACAACAGCAACAACTACATCACAATTAGTAATAACATTAGTAGCAGCAGCTATAGCAGCAGGAGAAACAGAAACAACGGTGACAACACAGTAAAAACATCAACAGTAATAACAACAACAGCACCACCACAATAAACATAACAGCAAGAACAACAAGAGCAACAGCATAAATAACAATGGCAACATAAACGACAGCAGCAGTAACAAAACAGCAGCAGAACAGCAACCACAACAACAACACCACCAGCAGCAACAAAAGGAAGATAGTTTCACCATTGGATATAATGAAAATACAAAAGGTTAGGCCTATAAACTATACCAACTAAAATTTAAATTATTAATAAAGTTTCATAGATTTTTAAAGAAATTGTAAACAAATAAGACTACCTGATGACCACATAATATTAACTGATATACCTACCTGTGAAGGTGTTGGTAAGCCTATGTGTGAGAGTAAGTTAAGAGTAAGTGTGACCCACAGAGAACTGAACAGATTCAATAGCTGAAGTTGAGGACAATAACAAAATGTGGGTGCCAAAAATAGAGTTGGCTGATGTAGTGTTAAGGCACTTATTAAGTAATCTTGTGATTCGGGTTCTTGTAATTGATGTATCACTTTCAAAGTGCGTATTGTTTTCTGTAAGTAGATCGAATCATAAGCACCTATAGTCAGGAAAGGGTTTTAAATTGACACATTGAAGCGGATGCCATGGGAAAATGACAAGGTTACAGTGACATTACTTTAAGTATTTTCGGCGAATGCATGTGGCAAGGGACACATCGTGTAAGTTCACTTAAATTGATGAACATATGCGAAGATGTTCATTTCTCCTTGAAAGAAATAAAATACACGTTTTCACATGATTTGGAACACAAAACGCACCTTTGGTCCGTTTTCAGGCATCTAAACATGCACATTTTGTAATGCGTTGCGTCAATGTCTCATTGTTATACAACTGTGTTCATTTTACGGAGAATGCACTTTTTACTAACTTTCCAATGTGTGTAAAATACCCAGCAAATGTCTTCAGTTGCAAACCTTGGCTTAGTGAAAGCCAAATTCGGAAGGGCTTCTAACATCCTTAGCTAGGAAATACTCATGCTTACTGTAATATTCAATAACACGAATTAATAACTGTAACATCTTCATGATTCAGTGAATGTGATAAAGGGATGCAATACAATTTATATATGCCCTATACTTAGTAAAAAAAGTCTATTACATAATAATATAAAGGTTATAGCGAGGTATTTAACGTTCTATTAATATGTATAGATTTGACTTATAATAAATCAAGTAACCTTACCGCTTATTTTATTTATTTATTTATGTTTTCCCTAATAAACATCAATATTTTACAAATTAAAGAAAGGGTTAGTAATGTTAATTAATTACCAAATGATGCGTGACAGTTAGAATAATGTATTTATACATCTTAATTATAGCTTTATTTATGATTTCATTCTATCATTATTACTATTATTATTATTATTATTATTATTATTATTATTATTATTATTATTATTACCATTTTGAATAAGTAGTTAAGGATTATATGTTTGTGTGGGCACGTAAGGATAACTAAGTTTTCAAGCCAGAGGTAAAACAAGAAATAAATACATAATTAATAATGTAAATATATGATAAAAAGCGGAACATCATGTGTTGTGCAGCAGTATCATTAACAATTGTGAAAGCATGGCTTTATATTATATTATATTATATCTGTCTCTTATACACATCTAGATGTGTATAAGAGACAGGAAACAACGAATATATACAGTTTCACCGTACCGTACCCACTACCGTAGCCAGGATTTTCAAACAGTGCGGGAGAATATCAGGTTAACCAACTTTACACGTATTCAAATAGTGGACTCATTTTCTTAAAAGTTGATGACCCATTTTTACGCAAAAAGTGATAACCTTAACCCATTTTCATAAAAGTTTACCCATTTTAGGCTAAATATCAGAAATCTGGACCCATTTAAAAAATATGTAGATCAATTCTTTGTGGACCCATTAGAAAAATTGTGTGGGACTGTTCCAACTGTCCTAATAACTTGCTACGTCACTGACGTAACCATCCATCCCCTGGTACAACAAACACAAGAGAAAAAGTTTTCACTCCGACGGGAACCAGTGTGTATAATTTTACCGAGAGAGGGCACTACAAATAAAAATGGCAGCCTCCATCATAGTGAGGTCGTGTAGGCCTTTAATAACATCATTCGGAATAAAGAAGGTGGCTCATATATTTGATAATAAACTCTCACAATGTATACGTCAAACGTGTAAGTATGTACCCATAAGGTCAATTACACAAAAACAGATGGAGGAAAATAGACGGAAATATTGGTTAACGACTGGAAAGTATGGGGCCCTAATCGTATTCCTCATCTTCACTGCTCCCTACCTCCCTGCATTCATCGAGGCGCCTAGACATTGGGAACCCAGGCGAGAGAAAAAAAGGAAAAGACTCCAACAGGAAGCTAACAGACTCTCTGGTACAACTGACGAAGATGTAATAAATGAAGAGAGTGATAATGCTAATAATAAACCGTATACAGGCTTATCTTTACCCGGACGTGGCGTTAAAGCATCGGAGATTGTTGTTGACAGTGAGGAATTGAAATCCAAAAGATCAAATCGATACAATTTCATAGCAGACACAGTAGACCTAGCTGGACCAGCTGTTGTGTATATAGAAATTCAAGGAAGGTATGCCTATTTGTTTTTTCTAAAACATTGGATATTGTTCCGACGATGACATACAAATCCGATGTGTTGATTCTGGTGGTGGAGGTGGCTTGACACTTACCTTAAACGTATCTTATAGCACTACAGCCGGAACGTGCAGAAATTAGCCCTAGAAATCCATCCGTGCATTTCCAAAAATAAAGGCCGATTTCCAAAATTTCTTGATATACAACAAACATATGCAGTAATGAGCCTACAGTAGTTGCGTTTCTGCTCACCCATTTTTCTAGAGATTTTCAGTGCGAATTTAAGCTAGTTTTCCTGGTCTATTATCCACGCAATTAAAATACTTCACAGTATGGCAGTTCAGCATGTTGGAAGAATATCCATGGCAATTTTAAAAAGTCTGGTACAACTCAGTTTATTCAATGATGCTCATCATGACATTGTATATTCGCTCGTTTATCATTTCATTGATTATTGCATGTATATGTCGAGCATCAAATAATTTCAATCAATCATGCAATTAATTTTTACTACTAATCGGATCTTCACATACTACCAGGAACCCATGTCACATATGTAGGTGTCTTTCACATTGCTTCCACAAGATATATTGCTCAAAACATTGTTGGCTAAAATTATTGTCTGAAACATCATAACAGATTGTTTTAAATTAATATCAAGATTTACTGAGTTATGTAGATTGATTGATTGTAGAGGTACTACCGTCGAGAAGGAGCAAGATGGGGCCCGGACCTCGCAAAGGGGCCTCGAGACAGATAAGATTTAATAAATCAATAACATTGTATGGAAAAACAATATAAAATACTTTGCGCTCCCCCTCCCCCCTCAAAACATTGACATGAGCTCTACCTTGGACCTCAATGTGTGCCTCCATCAGCCCCCCCGACCCCCGCTTAAGGAGTCCCGGCAGCTACAAAAATTAATCAATTCTGCCTTTCTTAATATGACCCAATACTTGTTTTCTAAACTACATTTATTATATTTTACAGGCATCCTTTTCGTAGAGGTCAAGTTCCAATGTCTAATGGGTCAGGCTTTATTGTTTCGGATGATGGCTTGATTTTGACCAATGCTCATGTTGTTGCCAATGGACAGATAAGTGTCGTAAAAGTTCGGCTGAAAGATGACTCAGTGTACGAGGGTCGAGTTATTGCAGTGGACTCAGTTTCTGATTTGGCTGCATTGAAAATTAATGCTGTAAGTTTAGTTCCATTGAAATACAGTTCACCTTCCAATTCGAGACCATCTTTGGGACCTGAAAATTTGGGGTGGTCTCAGGATTCGGTCGGTATAATTTAAATAGAGGTAGCTTTGTGTTAAAAGTTTGAAGATTGTTGGTTCTTTAAAAAGGTGGTCTCTGAATTAGAAGGTTCTCAAAATTAGGAGAGCCTCGGAATTAGAGTGTTCTTGAATTTGAGAGTGCAGTGTAATCTTTTTAAAAAATTGTTTATAGTAAATAGTTATTAATTTTTTATTATCGCCAGGATATGCTACCTTGAAGTACATATGAAAACAAGAAATACTGTTTAGAATACTTGTAGAATTCATGTTAAAATATATATTTTTACATCCCTATATTTGTCAATTTAAGCATGCTTCAAGGATTCAAAAATCAATTTATAATTTTTACTCCTATAGAAGTTTTTAGCATGATTTTTTTTTTCATTTTAGGGTAAAAAACTTCCTAAATTGAAACTAGGGAAATCATCCCAGTTGAGGCCAGGTGAATGGGTGGTTGCTATGGGAAGTCCCTTGTCACTAAGCAACACAATAACAGCTGGGATTGTGAGTGCTGTTAGCCGTACAAGCAAGGAACTTGGATTAAACAAAGATATAGATTATATTCAGACTGATGCGGCAATCACGGTGAGTTTCCTGCCAGTGAGCATTTGGGACCTCTGTTTTTTTTAAAAGATATACTGTACTATGAAAATACCCCCAAAAAATTATATTTTTGTATAAAATTAACTTGATTATTTTGTACTAACATAAAATTATCAAGTTGAACATATAAGTTAGTGTATTTAATATGTTCATGCAAAATCAGGGTATTGTTCCAGGGTTTTGTAATAGAACATAATTTGCCACTTTTTGCCGTTAATGACCACTTCTCCATTCTACAAAATTGTTTCCGATAGCAAAACTACACACCAGTATTCATGCGGTCCCACAAAGGTCACCCATATAGTCTGCACAACATATTTTTTCCTTAGCGATGGATGGCAGTAGTGACGAGAAAGATAAATTTTTTTCTGTTCTTATTTCCAACAAGGACAAAACTACAGGTGGTACAGACTGTATAAATTAAAGCATGTTAATATATTAATAATAAATTATTAATAGTAATGTATATTTATTAGTAACGCCACTGGCTGTAGGCCTAACCTAGGCCTACAGTATATTTTTGTACCTCTAAAATCGATTATTTAAGCCCTTAACTTAACTGAAATGTTATATCTTTTTGGGAGAGGG